CTTCTCTTCCCCTTCGCGTAGGTATGTACCACGGCCATGGTCCCCGCGGGTCTCGAGGTACGCTGCCATGCAAATCTGGTGCCGGTCACCTTGCATCGGCAAGCCGTCGGCTCATCGCCCAGCGATCCCGGCATCTCACCTAGTGAGGTATGCTGCCCAGCAGCCTTCGGCCATCGTCCAACGATGCCGGCATCTCGCCCAGCGAGGTATGCTGCCCAGCAGCCTTCGGCCATCGTCCAACGATGCCGGAATCTCGCACTATAATGTCCTCTACCTCAAGTAGCATATCTCTTGTTAATTTACGGTACAGCTCGCTATCTAGGTTCTCTTACATCGCCTGGCCGCTAGCCTTTGGCTGCGGTCCTCTCCGGGGTGCTCCCGGAGCCATTCTTCCAGTGCAGTCGTTCCCTTCACGTGTGCATACGGCTCCCACGTGTTCTGGGTGTTGTCGTAACCTGTCCACTTGACTAAGAACTGCTCGGTGTTCCTGTGCCATCTGGCATTTAGGATCTTGTCCACTTGGTAGGCCTCCTGACCGTCTTTGTCCTTCTCGGGCTCAGGCGGGGCGGTGCCTGTCTGTACGGGGTACCGCCTGGGTCATGGTAATGTCTCAAAATGCTGACATGAAAGACTGGGTGCAACCCGGTGAACTCCTTGGGTAGTTCGAGCTCGTAGGTGTCAGGATGCGGGCCCTTGCCGCGTACTGTGAATGGCCCAATCCATTGTTCAGCCAGCTTTTTGTTCCTTGTGGTGACGCTAGTAATCGCGATACCCTCATGATGGAGTAAGACCTTGTCACCCTCTCGGTATGCTTCCGTGTGCTTCTTGCGGTCGTAGTACTTTGCCTGCTGGTCCTGTGCATCTCGGAGCCATTGCTGCACGATGCAACTCACGTCGGCGAATTCCTTAACCCGTCTCTCCACGGCGGTTCGTGCTGATTGCCTTATCATCTCTCCGGGGTTAGGTGCTACCCATTGATTCGGTACCCGGGGAACGCGGCCTAGGTCAATCTCGAAAGGGGATAGTCCCGTCGACATCTGCGGCGTTCGGTTGTAGTTGTACTCGAGTGTGGGGAGTAAACCCTTCCAGTTGGAGCCGGCATAGTCAAGAAAGGGCCCCATGATTCCCTTGATCGTCTTGATGGCGTTCTCCGCCTTGCCGTCGGTCTGTTGGTGTCGTGCCGACAAGAGTTCTTGCTTGACGTCGAGTGCCCACATGAGGTACCGCCAGAGTTCTGATAGCCACTTGGGGTCCCGATCGCTCACGATGGTGTGGGGTAACCCCGTGTGGCGAAATGCCTGTTCCAGAAAGAGTTGAGCCGTCTCCTGAGCTGTAGCACGTGTGTTAGTAAGTAGGAGTATCACGCGGCATGAAAGGTAGTCAACGATGAGGAGTACGGCGTCTGCCGTCCTGGTCAGTCTCTCGCCAGTGTGGTGCGGAGGGTTTTTCGTCACGTCGGGCTCTACCCGAGGTTCCCCCCCCTTAGAGCCGGACGTGGGGAAGAATATATCCATGCCAATTTGTTGCCAACGAGCGTCAGCGATCGGTAAGCTGCGGAGGAAACCGATCGGTGCGGCGCGCTTGTGGCATTGGCATGTAGGGCAGGTGCGGACATATTGGTACACATCACGTTCCATGTGGGGCCAATAGTACAACTCCAGAAGTTTGGCGAGCGTTCGTTGGACACCGGAGTGCCCACCGTTCGCGAGGGAGTCGTGATGAATCTGAAGGAGTGGCCCCCGCAAGCTGTCGGGGACGTACCGACGGTCATGGTACATCAAGAATCGGTGCGGAGGGGAGTCCCTTGTCCGGAATCGACGTGCATGGCCGGATAGGTTCTCCGGTGGACTGTTGATGGTTAGTAAGATGTGTTGGCCGAAATCATCCGATGCAAGCGCTTGGGTCCAGTCCGCATCGGTCGGCATGTGCGTTGTGACGGGCTTCTCCGTCGACACAATGGCGGTGACCACGTCGATCTTGGCCTGGCAGGTCGCACACTTGGGGGCGTAAGTCGGGTCGCGACTGAGGAAGTCGGCAATCAAATTCCATGTGCCGTGGAGGTATTCCACTGAGAAATCGAACTGTTGGAGGAACTCGACCCAGCCTGCTTGGCGACGTGACAGGTGGGGTTGTTCCTGGAGGTAGATCAGGGATTTGTGGTCAACAAACGCGCGGAATGGGCGGCCGATGAGGTAATGGCGGTTGGCGTGTATGGATTTGACTAGTCCCAGCAGTTCTTGTTCATGCACGGGGTATCGAGTCTTGGCGGGTTGCATCTTGCGGGAGTAGTATGTCACCGGGCGAAGTTGCGGAAGGTTGGCTAAGCCCGATTTGGTGGTTGGTAGTGGATGAGGATAAGGGAAATCCCCTTTGGCCGGCTGTGCCAGCCATCCACCGTAGGCGTAGCCCGATGCGTCCGGAACAAGTAGGTGTCGAGCGCCGGGTCGAAGTACGCTAGGGTGGGTGCCGAGGAGCATAATTCTTTTAAGCGATTGAACGCTTGATCTTCCTCGTCACCCCACTGCCATGGGCGGTTGCCGGATTGCAGATTTGTTAGTGGTAGGGCAATCTGTGCATACTCGGGGATGTATTCCTTGACATAGTTGACGAGGCCCATGAAGCTAAGGAGCTCCAGGGAGTTGGTCGGGTGAGGTCGTTCCGGAACCGCGGTCACCTTGGAAGGGGCGATACTCGGGCCATCCTTGCCGACTTGGTGGCCGCAGAACTCGACTTTGTCAACCGCCCATTGACATTTGCTGGGTTTGACGTGAAGGCGATGTTCCGCCAGGGTCTTGAGGATCTCGTCGACATGCTGAATGTGCAAACTCATGTCAGTGCTGGATATGAGAATGTTGTCGAGGTATGAGATCACGTAAGCGTTGTACTTGTCGCCCAGGAGTTTGTTGGTTAGTCGCTGGAATGTAGCAGGTGCATTAGTTAAGCCGAAAGGTAGAACATTGTATTCGAACTGCCCGAAACGTGTTCGGAACGCTGTTTTCTCCCTATCTTCCGGTCAAATCATGATGCAGTGATACTCGTCGCGGATGTCAATCGCGGTGAATACCCGCATGTTGACAAGCCTGTCGTGCAGTTCCGAGAGGTTCGGAAGTGGCGTGGCATCCTTGTGGGTCATCTTGTTCAGTGCCCAATAGTCAATGCAGCAGCATAAGCCGCCGTCCTTCTTTGGGGCAAATAGGACGGGCGCACCCCACGGGCTGCAAGAGTGTGAGATCCAACCCTTGTCCATTAAGCGCTGCATCTGTTGGCCGAGCTCGTCCAATTTGTCAGGGCTCAAATGCTGGAGTGGCTGCATCACGGGCTTCGAGCCAGGTTTGAGCCGAATGGTGAAATTGTCTTCGCCTCGGTCCGGAGGCATGCCTGACTGTTCGGTGAATAGCGTCGTGACGTATTTCTCTAGGGTCGGTCGGAGTGGATGGTCGGCCAGCAGTGCCTCTAGCGGGTCCTCTTGATCTGCCGTCTTGGCTTCGGCGTTGGTGTGGCGGCGTTCCTCCAAGATTGCCCTTTTCTTGGCGTCGACCGTCCGTACGAATTGAGCCTCTACGGCTGGGATTGCATCTACGATGTGTACCTCAAAGACTCCAGTGATCTCGCCCTTCTTCATCAAACGTTTCCATTGCTTGGCCGTGTAGATTCCTTCTGCATTGAGTGCTGGCTTCGCCGGCTGGAATCTGCGGGGCCATATCTCTCGTGGGGAGAGCAGGCGGGCTACGCACGCGGACGGTGCTTCCCAATGGCGATTAGTCAATTTGGCTCGAAGGCTGAGGGTCTGGCCGTCGTGGTAGAACGTCATCGTTGGGAAGCCCTCTTGGTCGAAGAGCCCTCGGACGTCCAATCCCAATATGAATGGTAAGCCGAGTATGACATCGACCCTGATCGGTGCAACCACGAACGGTACGGTGTCTTCCCGATAGGTAATCTTCTCCTTGGTGAACACCGCGAGGTCCCCACAGGTCATCTTCGTTGCACCGTAGTTTCCGGCTCTATCGCCCCATCGGACCTCCAGCGGGGTTGGAGAGGTGTAGGTCCGGAGGCCGTGCTTGGCTGCCCAAGTGTCGCTGATGATCAGGGTGTTACACCCGGTATCGATTAGGATGCGGGCAAAGTGCCCTTGTATCTTCCCGTGAATCACAAATGTCTTCCTGTGAATGCGGGGTCCCGGCCTGTCTGTGGGGATCTTGTCTTGCATCCGGGGTTGAGTACTGAGACGGTGCAAACGTTCAGCACCCGGAGCGAAAATCCGAGCTGTTGACGGAGCCCCCGTCGCTGACCGTGTTGTCCCCGGGCTCTTTGGTGATCTCTACAGGGGCGGCGAACGTTCTATGCTCACCGGTCTTACCTCTACCTGCTGAGCACCCACGGGCATAGTGCCCCTTGCCTCCGCAGTTGAAACATTCGTTGCGTTCACGACGTTTGTTATAGGTGATACGCTCACGGTCTGAGATCCCTTGGTGGTTGTCCGTGCCGCGTGTGGGACGACCTGAGCCATAGAGGGTGTGGCGTCCCCTTTCTCGTGCTTGGTAGTTCCCTCGATGTCCCTGAGCCGGCTGGACTGCAGCGTACTGACGTCTCCTTCCGTCGGGAGTTACCCGCGTGACATCGTCCGCATAGCCTCGAATCCTGTAGCATAGTAGAGCTTTGTTCTGTAGCTCGGTGATCGGGATCTCGGCGCCATTATTCCTCATGATTGCGGCATAGCAGTGGTCCCGAATGCGCTGGCCGACATGGTTGATCAAGAATCCCGTCAAGAAATAGTCACGCTCTTGCCTTGGGGTGAGCCGCTCCTTGTCGTCGAGCGTCGTGATCTGGGCCCGAAGGGTATTGAACTTGGCGATATACTCCGATATGCTATTAGTGAAAACCAGCCGCTTCATCTTTGCTTCTGCGGTGTTTCGTAAGTTGGCGGGGTAGAAGCGGACGCGGAGGATCCTCGTGAATTCTTCCAATGTTGTGGGCTGGTCGCCGGCATCTCTGAGCATATGCCACCTCTTGGCTTAGTGGTTAAAGCGTGGCACTCTGAATAAAAAGACCCAGGGTTCAAACCCTGGGGCGGAACAAAAACTCCTTTCCTTGCGAGCTGGAGGCTGGGGGAGGGGAAGAGGTAGAGCCTCCAGAGTATAAATAACCACTGGTCACCACGCTGTCTGTGCTATGGTGCAAGAAGCGGTATAAGTCAAGTTCAAATCTTGTGGTGCTACCATGTAATAATACTAGGTCCGTTGCCAGAGTCTAGTCTTCTATTTGGGAATTCCCTATCTCTAATTCTACTGTAAGATCTCTAAGTCTTGAATACGTCCTCGTCGGAGTATTCCTACTTTTCTTCTGGACCGCGGGGCGGTCCCGGTCACGTGATGGCCATCCGTGGCCATCTCTAATGTCTAGTACCCTTCGGGATGCTGACGCTAGCATCCATCTTGCGCGGGGCCCTTCCCGGCGCGTATCTAGGCTTAGGCTGGCAAGCCACGCCTCATTACATCCTCAGCAGTACCAGTGATAGGCACAGTGACGTGTTTCCCTTCGAGGGATAGAGGTGGAGTCAGTAATGTTCAGACAGCTGTGTCAGGGCTCATAACCTGTTGAGACGTCTTGACATCTACAAACAGGAACTCAGCATAGATAGGTTGCTAGGTTGTTGTCAAGACTTGCAGAGGGTCTGAAGGTGCTTCCCAAGGTAGGGAAGGTCGCCTGTAGTGTTTGGCAGAGTGTACTAGACAAGTAGATTGTGTTGGACTGTTATTGTATTGGTTGGGGATGCCCAGAGGGCGTCCTTTTATAACAATTTGGATCATAGTACATGTGTAGTGACAATCTAACTGTGCCCTAGCTTGGCCAGGACGGCCCTGGCCTGGCCTAGTATTGTTCCCAATCATAGGGTGTCTTTTTGCCTTTTCTTGGCGCTTATATCAGCGCTCCAGACGTGTTCTAGGCCTTCCCAGGCCCTTTCCAGCTATTCTGGATTGTTCTAGACCATTCTGGATCATTCCAGACCCCTCTAGACACAAGTTGATGTCCTCCCACATGTCCTGTGTGCTCTAAGTCCTCCCAGAGGCGCCCACAGGTAGATTCCAACACTCCCACTCACAAAACATGTTTTGTGATCCCACAGGTGTCCCTCAGTTTCAAGAACTGATCCCTAGCCAGTGGTTTTGTAAAGATGTCTGCAACCATGTCCATGCGGGATCCTCCTTGACCTCTGCAATTCATGTGGTCTTGTCGTAACGTTTGTGGCATCCATGTGGACGGTGGCCAAACAGCTCTCTTTGTCCATTCTCGTATGCTAGTGATCGGTTGAGGAAACATCCCGTGACAGGAGTGTCAGTGTAGAATAGTGAGGTTAGGGGTAGTTCGTCGGTTCCTCTTAGTCACCATGCCGCGTTGGGGATCCCTTCCTTGTCCATTGGACGCAAGCAGGTTTCTGGTGCATCGAAACCGATCTTTCTTTCTGTTTCCTTGTTGTGTAACTGCGTCTGCGGCACCCTCCCCCGTTTTTGTAGTTGGTCATGCTAGGATCATGCTGGGGGCAATTTTGGGAGATGGTGTGCAGTTTGTAGTGTTAAAGAACACCTGGCTGGTGTCGGCAGGAACTGTTTTGCGGATTTTGACAACCTCGTTGAATGGGATGCGCAATGTGAGGAGCCTATGTCTCAAGGCGGAAGAGGCTTTTTGTAGTTCGAGCAATGGAAGAGGAATGAGAGGATTGAAAGGTAAAGAGGAGTGATTTTCGATTGAAGGGAGATGGATGGGAGGTTGACGTGTTGATGGATGATGACCTCTACGGGGGGTTCTTTCCTTCTCGTTTAAATATGAGGTTCTCGGGTTCTTAGTCTCTAACTAACTTGTGGAGAACGGGGAGATCATCTAGGGACTATGGCAGTGCAGCGATGACAGTGTAGCTGCGCAGTACTGAGACCGCGGGGTAAACTTGTGGGGAGTTCTGCTTATGAGGGATTGGGAAATCGCTTATGAGGCGCGTCTGCCTTAACTTGGGATATGGCTTTTTACTAGCCGAAAAATAAGTAAAGTATAAATATGCCATTATGGCCATCTCACACCCCCCTTTGCCTCTTGGGCTTTAGTGCAGGAGGCATGAAGTTGCTGAGCCGCAGGTCGAGCTCCCATGCGGTCGTCAGCTGCTGGCTTGCCATAGGATGAGCTCCCATATGGTGTCAGCTCCTGGTGCAGCGCTTAGGCTTACACTGGCTTCAATCTCTCCGTCGAGTAGATTGGTACATCGAAACCCCGTCGGGCTCGGTAAAGTTCGGCTTATAGCCAGGACAGGGAGCGGCTCCTTAGCGGCTTTCATCCTTTGAACAGGGAGCTAATGCTTTGTTCTCTATCTAAGCGGGAGAGGGGGATTGTTGACTCGCCATATCTCGAATGCCTCCGTGTCTTTGAGATTGGCTTCGGGCTGCCAGGAGGGTTCGGGCCAGCACATGTATTTGGTTAGGAACATTCGGCGGCGGACTCGGCCTCGGCCGGTTACCGTTTCGTCGAGGATTGCCTCGACTGGGTACTCGAGTTCCTCTTCGATGAGGACCGGCTCTGGCGGAGGTGGCGTTTGGTCGCGGAGCGGATGCATAGGGGGCACATGCTTCCGCAGTATGTTAACATGGAAATAGGGCCAGATCGCCTTGAGAACCTTTTGGGAAAGGTCTAAGCAATATGTGTCTGGATGAGGTCCTTTGGCTGCAATGGTAAACGGTCCGATGTAATGAGGCGTGGCTCGCCAACCTAAGCCTAGATACGCGTTGGGAAGGGCCCCGCGCGAGATGGATGCTAGCGTCAGCATCCCGAAGGGTACTAGACATTAGGGATGGCCCCGGATGGCCATCACGTGACCGGGACCGCCCCGCGGTCCAGAAGAAAAGTAGGAATACTCCGACGAGGGCATATTCAAGACTTAGGGATCTTACAGTAGAATTAGAGATAGGGAATTCCCGAATAGAAGACTAGACTCTGGCAACGGACCTAGTATTATTACATGGTAGCACCACCCCGTAGACGACAACAATGGCACGTAGCACCAGGAACAGCCCAATGGCAGTAGGAGAAGCCGAAGTCGACACACCGACCGACAACCCCGTCGCAATGTTGGCTGCACAATTGGCGGAGACCCAACGCCTACTGCAGGAACAGATCGCAATGGGAGAGGCCCGCTTCGAAGCCCTTCTCTCAAGGATTCCGACTCCAGTCCAACCAGCGGTTGCAACACCGCACGTCGACATCATCCTGGCGGAAGAAAACCGCGCACGAATACAAGCCGAGAAGGAACGCCACGAGAACCTTCGCAAGCAGCTGACACACTTCGATGGAAAAGGGAACAGTGAAGAAATGGTGTCGAAGGTCGATGAGTTCTTGAAGGTCCACACGCGCTACCTTGAGGCAACCGACTTCAGGACGGACCACCGGGACGTCGACCACATCTCGGGGTACCTCAAGGAAACCGCCAACGAGTGGTGGCAAATGCTCAGAGATGCCGGCAACCAGCCCACGACATTGAAAGAATTCACAAGGATCCTCCGCGTCCGCTTCTACCCCGCCAACTTACGAAACACCGCAGAAGCAAAGATGAAGCGGCTGGTTTTCACTAATAGCATATCGGAGTATATCGCCAAGTTCAATACCCTCCGGGCCCAGATCGCGACGCTCGACGACAAGGAGCGGCTTACCCCAAGGCAAGAGTGTGACTATTTCTTGACGGGATTCTTGACCAACCATGTCGGCCAGCACATTCGGGACCACTGCTATGCCGCAATCATGAGGAATAATGGCACCAAGATCCCGATCACCGAACTACAGAACGAAGCCCTACTATGCTACAGGATTCGAGGCTATGCGGACGATGTCGCGTGGGTAACCCCCGACGGAAGGAGACGCCAGTACGCTGCAGTCCAGCCGGCTCAGGTACATCAAGGGAACTACCAAGCACGAGAAAGGGGACGCCACACCCCCTATGGCTCAGGTCGTCCCATGCGCGGCACGGACAACCACCAAGGGATCTCAGACCATGAGCGTATCACCTATAACGAACGTCGTGAACGCAACGAATGTTTCAACTGCGGAGGCAAGGGGCACTATGCCCGTGGGTGCTCAGCAGGTAGAGGTAAGACCGGTGAGCATAGAACGTTCGCTGCCCCTGTAGAGATCACCAAAGAGCCCGGGGACAACACGGTCAGCGACGGGGGCTCCGTCAACAGCTCGGATTTTCGCTCCGGGTGCTGAACGTTTGCACCGTCTCAGTACCCCAACCCCGGATGCAAGACAAGATCCCCACGGACAGGCCGGGACCCCGCATCCACAGGAAGACATTTGTGGTTCACGGGAAGATACAAGGGCACTTTGCCCGCATCCTAATCGATACAGGGTGTAACACCCTGATCATCAGCCACACTTGAGCAGCCAAGCACGGCCTCCGGACCTACACCTCTCCAACTCCACTGGAGGTCCGGTGGGGTGACAGGGCGGGAAACTACGGTGCAACAAAGATGACCTGTGGGGACCTTGCGGTGTTCACCGAGGAGAAGATTACCTACCGGGAAGACACCGTACCGTTCATGGTCGCACCGATCAGGGTCGATGTCATACTCGGTTTACCATTCATATTGGGATTAGACGTCCGAGGGCTTTTCGACCAAGAGGGCTTCCCAACGATGACGTTCTACCACGATGGCCAGACCCTCAGCCTTCGAGCAAAATCGACTAATCGCCATTGGGAAGCACCGTCCGCGTGCGTAGCCCGCCTGCTCTCTCCACGAGAGATACTGTTAGCACGTACAGACTCTGTCATCGAGTCACAACTGCGCCATCACAGGGCGTATTACGTGATCACGTGAGCCCACGTGATCAACTCCGATATAAGTAGTTTTCCTTCCATACTTAATATATCGGTGGGACTTTTTCTCTTTTTCTCCAGTAGAGCGGGATTAAGATACTTCGTTGTTCTGCTCAGTCAACTACCCTAAAGCTTCCTCAACTATCTACTCAGATACTCTCAGACCAACAGGTTATGAGCCCTGAAATGGTAGGCAACGAAACGAGCCCCCGGTACACTTGT